AGAGGGCAAAAGACATGATTAAAGACAGAATAATTTCATGGGGTGAGTACATGAGAGAAAGGAGGTAGGCTGGACTGGTGAAAGACTTTTGAATTTGTAGTCTTTTTTCCTCTTCACTTCATTCTTCTTTCCCATTGTCTGCCTCTTTTTCTTCAAAACAAAACGCAAATCTCTGCTTTCCCTCTTGTCATTCAGTCACAGCCCCAAAGCAGAGGGAAAGTAAACTCTTCCCTCATCCAGGAGAGAGAGACTAAAGATCCTGTGTTGGATTCGGCAGCACAGCAGCATGTGCTTGAAATAAAGCAAGAATTAAATGAAGGTTAAATTGTTAGATGAGAAAAAAATGAGTAACATTTTTTCTGAAGCTCAGGTAAAGCCTCTTCTTTTACATACTGAATTCATTCCCAAATAACACCCAAACAAGAAAAGAAAATTAAACGGCACAACTGCTAATGCTGTTTTTCATAAAGATTTCTCAGAGAAAGTGCATCTCTGGGACAGTTCTCAAGATTTTTCATTTTCTTTTTTTTTTTTTCTTTTTCTTTTTCTTCTTTTATTTTATTTTTTTTCTTGAAGACATTTCAAATGGATTCATTTTAGAATAAGAACAGAAAAGCTAAGTCTACTCTGTGTCATTTGCTAAGAAATGGGATATACCATTATATTTCCTTCAAATCACTGTGTTTGTAAAAAAAGATAAGCAACTTACAAATCAAAGCATGCATCTAACATGTCACTTATATGGTTATTTTTACAAATAAAGTTTTGAGACTACTTGATGATTCTCTTTTCCCCTACTTATCATCCTCTCTCCCCTTCAAAAATTTAGTATTCAACAAAATGCTGCCAGGCATACAGTGCTCCCAAGGTCACTCCACCATCCTCCTTCAAGGTCCCCATTAAAACTCTCTTGTAGTATAAGACTACTAATAAAACAAAATTAATCCTACCTTACCCTCCAGCCTAAGAGGATTCAAACTCACATATCTCACCTCCCAGGAGAATTACAGCTTCTCCAACTATGGACTGCTGTTTTTATGTATGCACAAGCATATGTGAATGCCCAGAGATAGAGATGGACAGAGAACAGCACTGCTTCTAAGAAAGCTGTTTTATTTTACATTAAATAATTAAGGATTTCTTGGGCCACAGAGCAGGACAGAACCTGATCACAGAGCAGCAATTAGGGCACTCAGCAGGAAAAGTGAAGACTAGGTTTTTGCTCTTTGCTTCCAAGACTACTCGTCATTTAAACCGGTCACTGCTCTGATTTAAACATGTAGCTGAGTTTTTTCCCCCGCCTGGTTGATGAAGTGTGTGAGCCCTCATATTTCAGCTGACTGCTTGGGTGCAGCAGGAGGGCTTCCAGAAAGAGGTCTTTCCTCACTTGCTGCACTGAAGCAGCTTCTGGTGTTGGGTGTTCACTACAGCATCATTTCATCAGGTTACTGCCCTGTTGAGTTACTCCAAAATTCAAGCAGTGTCTCTGAAAGCTCAGAATTCACATACAGCTGTGTTACTGCTGTACAATCTATGCCTCTTATTTAATTCTTAAGAAGAATAGAAGAAAGATTTACAAATCTTTCCAAAATTGAATGAAATCACATTTTTTTTTTATATTGTTCTTAGAAAAAAAGAAGTGTGAAATAGCACTGGAAAGTGTGAAAAAGCAGTGTTAACAAAATAAAATCATTTATTATTATTTATTATTTAATGTCAGATTTTCCCCATCCATACATTTTTAAAATAGATCCAATTCACTTAATACTTTGTCAATTTCCTTTAATGTAGAATTTCATCAAGAGATTATCTCTGCACATTTTGTACAGAACTTTTTTTTTTCAGAATCTTCTTTTATATCCTTCTGTCTGAGTTTTCATAATAATAATAGTAATGATCATAACACCAATTGAAAGCAACCAAGGAGGATGCATGTACAATCTGAGCATCACTGTATCACTGTCCTTTCCTGCTTAGTCATGAATTACATCGTTTGTACAAGAATATATTAACCCTGTTTCTTCTATTAAAAAAAAAGGAGGAAAGGAAGGAAGGAAGGAAGGAAGGAAGGAAGGAAGGAAGGAAGGAAGGAAGGAAGGAAGGAAGGAAGGAAGGAAGGAAGGAAGGAAGGAAGGAAGGAAGGAAGGAAGGAAGGAAGGAAGGAAGGAAGGAAGGAAGGAAGGAAGGAAGGTAATGCAAGCTCAACAAATATTGTATTTGGACTACCACTCAGGGATCACCCCTTTCTCTTCAGCTAGCCTTCATCCAACAGAGAGGTCCTTGTACGGCTTCTTGTTGTAGCGTTCATCTTTCCAAAGAAAAATCTGTGTCATGTCTACTCCAGATAAGTACATGTCTCCTTGGGGATTGCAGGATTCCCTTTCTGTCCTGTTCTTGTCCTTGGCTCTTGTTGAGTGTAATTTATAACAGTATATGCTTTTATTGCAACCAAAGATTTTTTTTTTTTCTTTTTTTCCTTTTTTTTTAACGAGTTTACTTTGCAAGTATTGGACTGCAAGCTCAGCCTGGCAAATTTGTCTTCTCTAACATTTGATTTCTTCTCTTTGCCATTTATTTTTCTTCACCTAGCTGTTTTTGCAGAAAAGAAATTTTGTCAACATAGCTGCTCTCAGCATGGTGTCCATAGTACCTCAGTAAAATAAAAAAAAAAAGATGTCTGGACATGTGTAGTCTTGCGGAAAACAGTCCTACGTTACTCACTGTCAAGTCTAACAGTATAGCTAACAGTATTTCTGAGGGGTGGTGCTCTTCAGGAAATAAAAAGAAGGGGAAAAAAAAACAACAGAGAAGAAGAAGAAACAGAGAAAAAGAAAATCAATATTGACTCTTCACACATTTTCATTTACATCCCTGCATGGCTTTCAGTCTGGTCACAAATCAATATGCAGCTTTTAACACTGCTCAACTAGTTTGTTCTTTGTAAAAGAAGAGAGATTTGCCTCAAGTGGCTTGTTTTTCCCTTTGGGCTCTGGGCAGACTCTCCACCATTAACACAGTGTGATTCTTTGAAATGAAGTTGAGTTTATTTGACTGCTGTGAATGATCAGAAGAGCTTGAACTGTAATATTAATCACACAACACTTTCTTCATCACCACTTACAGTCAATTGACTTTGTACTTAGTGAAAGCGTCTTAAGCAGCCAACTTTAATGCATCAGAGGGTAGGAAGTCAATAGGAGGAAGAAAGATTTATTTTCAAAACACACAGTATACAGCTGCTGCCTCAGAAGCTCTGAGCACTCTATCACACCGCAGATATGCTATTGCATGTTTGGTATTTACATGACGAAGGCATCTGCATCACCTCCGTTTTCTTGTGGAACCATACTCCTCAATCAGCTGCAGCTTTTCCTTCAAGCTCATGTTTACTTGAGAGATAAAGGAACCAAGTAATTCAAAAACTATTTAGTTTCAGTTCAAGTGTCTTCAGATTTCAACAGAGAACTTTACTGACTCATGAAGAAGATACCTTCTGTTTCAGCTAGACAAATGACTGCTACTCAAATGCCAGGCATATGTCATGCTAATAATAATACCCAGATGCTTAACAAATGCCAGTTTGCCTAGGATATTTTAATAGCCACTTACTATTAAATGTGGGCCTTCAAAAAACATGCCTTTATTATAGATAGAATTTTGAAGACAGATATCTACATGAGGACACATGACTATTGATAAACACATTAACAGTGTTGGTTTTTTTGCCCCTGAAGTCTCAGCACACCAGTTTGGGATATTTCTAGCACATCTAGCCTCCACAGAATCCTTGCTGTTAAGGAAGTGCAAGCAACATTGAAAACAAGAGCCTAGAGGATAGATTTATTAAATGCAGTAATTTTGTAGTGTTCTTTGCTAGAAGCAGATTCTGTAGGAAAATACATCATGCCACAAAATGGGCATTCGTGACCTTTTTTTTTTTATGGCATATTTTAAACGTGCATGACCAGAGAATTCCAGCTTGTGTAAAGAATACAGATTGCATTGCTTTCTTGGGGATTCTCCTTAAGTAAAGAGAATTCCTCAGTGGTGTGAAAGTAAATCCTAGAACAAGTTAACTCTCTGTCTCCAGACTTTTCTTTTTCTGTCTAATTATCTACATACATAAACACATAAAGTAAAGTATGGCAAATTTATAAATGCTCATATGCTGAACAAGTTACAGATCACCTTGTTAAGTAAAACTGTTTTGCTTCTGTTTTTCCTGTGAATGAACTGTAGTTGATTGAAGTGATAAACTGAGTATCATTTGGATGAAACACATTGAGCATATTTCACTTGAAACAGATTTTGCTGGTTATGAATTTTTCAAAATTTCCATTGACTGGCCCAAATTATGTGAAGCAGCTGTCAGTCTCAGACCGTGGAAATCAATTTTTATTTGACAGTCCAACTTTTCTTGACATTTGTCTCTAAGGAGTTTCGAGTTACGGGACAACATGTGTTTTCCAGTGGAAAAGAACAGACTCAAAATAAGAATAAAGAAGGACTTTCAAGGACACTCACAGAGAGAAATTAACAAAGACGTATTCTGTAAATCTGTATTCTTTTTTTTTTTTT